TTATTGAATAAATATAAATACAATTTTTTTGAAAGATATTTTGAAAGATATTTTCATTTATCAAATATACATATATAGATTCAGAAATCAATGAATATAATATTTTTAAATATTAATTTCAGTCGAAATCACGGAAAATCTGAATTTTAAATATATTTATGGTAGAAATTCAAATCTCGCAATATAAGCATGATAGAAATTCAAACCAAATATTTCCTGTAATTTAATAACCGATGGAATCAAAACGGTATAGAGTTTAGGGTTTAGGGGTTCGCCAGCGCAGCTGGCGCCCTAGGCAACCCTGTGGTTTAAACAAGGGGCTCCGGCCGTTAGCCCTAAAGCGTTCGGTACCACGCGAACCTCGCCCGCATTCGTTCGGGCGGACGAACAACTGGGCGCCGGACAGACGGACGGACCATCTGGACGCGAGGGACGGACGGACGCGCGGGCACGCAAACGTAGCGACACGATAGAGGGCAGACGAACGAACGGACTATCGGGACGGGAGGGACGGACGGACGCACGAGCAGGCAAACGAAGCGACGCGAAAAACAGAAACGATAATTCCGGAAACAGATTTGTTTTTTGAGATTTCGTTGGTTTCGAGGATCCAGACCCGGATATCCAAATCTCTAAAGCCCGAAAGCCGAGACCGCAGACTCCGACGGGATGGAAGCGACAGCACAAGAGCGAAACGACGACATAGATAAACAAAAACGAAAATTGACGAAACAGAATTGTTTCGACCGCTCCTCCAAACCCAAAAACCCAAGGTTCAGCAGAGCGACGGACGGGCGGATGGACGGTCGGACGCGCGGATACGGGCTGGGCTGAGGCCTGGGTTCTTTCCGTCTGGCGTTCATCTCGTCCCGTCCATTCGTCCGTCCCTCCGTCCGTTTGGCCGTCAGTCCAAAGCCGCAGCCGCAGCCTGCAGCTCCAGCCAGCCCCGAAGCCCTAGCAGCGGCGGACGGACAAGCGCCAGCCCCAGCCCGTCCGTCCGTCCGCCGCATCGGTTCGGTCCGTTTTTCTGTCCGGTCGGCCGTCCGTCCAAAGCGGCGAACGGGTAGACGGAGATAGGAGGACTGACAGGACACGACCGGGCGGACGGACGGACCAGCTCCAGACCCCCCACTCCCAGCCAACCCCAGACCCAGTCCGCACCAGCAGCTCCAGCCGTTTCTGCCGGAAGACCCCGGCCGAGGCGGAGGTGTGTCAACGTGTAACAACTTTCATAAGTGAGCATTCATACCAACATTGATACATATATATTTGTGTTTTTGTCGGTATTTATATCTACGCCGATGTCTAGATACATACTTCGTCTTTCGTTTAGGGTTTAGGGTTTAGGGTTTATAGAAATTGTATAGGGTTCGCCAGCGCAGCTGGCGCCCTAGGCAACCCTCATGGGAAAAACAAGGGGCTCCGGCCCATTCCTCTAATGCGTTCGTTACCGCAAACCTCGCCTGCGTTCGTTCGGGCAAACGAACGAACAGGCGACGGATGGACGCACATGCACACGCACCGACGGACGGGTGTCGGGACAGCGCGGGACGGGACGGAGTGGCCGGACGGATGGATGTGGACGCACGGACGGACGGACGGACGGACGGATGGACCGCGATAAGAAAACAAAAAAAACAATTCAAGAAACAGATTTGTTTTTGTGATTTCGTTCAATTACAAGGCAAACGCGATACCCCTGGACGGACGGACAGAAGGGACGGGGACGGACGGACAGACGGACGGGAAAGGATTCACGGACGGACGGATGGACGGGGACGGACGGACGGGACGGACGGAAGGACGGACGGACGGGGTTTAGAATCCCAAAAACGACAGTTGCCGAACCAAATTTGTTTCGGCGACGCGTGAAAACACAGAAATGAAGATTCAAAAACCGATTTTGTTTTGGCGGGGGCGTGAGTGTTCGCGAGCGCGTGATGAGAAAGAGCGAGTGAACATGAGAGAATGAGAATCAGCGAGTGAGAAGGAGTGAAGAAGAATGGTTGAATGAAAGTGAGTGAGTGAGACAAACGCTTACAAAACCTAAAACCCAAGTTGAGGAATGGTAAAAAAAATAGTAGGGACTTTTCTTTGTTTACAAGACAAATTTTCTTATCAAATAGTTGGTTAATAGTTTTTCTTTTTGTTTGTGTTTCGGTAGTAGAAGTATTCCAAACATAGAACAACTGATATCATTCCAATGATCTGTTCAATAAAATGATAAGGATGCGACGACGGAGATTTTAGTTTCCGCCGAGGCTGGGCGGAAGCCACCGGCCGAGGCGGAATGGTGCAAGACTACACAGGTTTGAAAGTTTAAGTACACATGTAATAACAAACAAACATTCACCCTATGCGATGATGTTTATAATTTTATGTAGCATATATTGATAACATTAATATTTGTATCTCTACTTCTGTCTATATGTATATGTGCATAGCTGTATGTACATATGTATGAATATAAGCCAAAATCATAGATAAATTATCTAGATTAGTATATGTTTATGGCTGCATGTATATCGTAGTTTATTTTTAGAGCACAGGTAACTGTATGTATATGTAGTTGTACCAATGCTCACATTTGTGGATGTATCTAGACCCATAAACATGTTTCTATTTGTCTCTGTATACAAATAGCTGCCTACATATATATATATATGAATATCTGTATATCTGTATATCTAGGTATGTATTATATATATATGTATGCGAATATATATATATATATATATGTAGATAAGTCCGTATGTCTGTATAAAACCCTAGGTATCTGCCTATCGTTCCTTTTACATATCTCTCTCTCTATATATATATGAATATGTAAATATGATATATTTTCTTCACCTCTCATATACTTTGCAAATGACGAGTCATATTGAAGATGTAGTTTTGGGACAACGCGGATCGAAAGCTAAAGCAAGCTTAAATCCGCACCAGTTCTTCTCGAGATCATAACAGGAACCGGGTTTTAGTAAATTAAAGTATTCAGCTTTGGGGGCCACGTTGAAGTCAATTGCGGCCATATCTAGGCATTTATCATCTGTTTGTACCTATATTCGCATGTCTGAGCATCGGTACCTCGTTCTCTCTGCTTATGCGTGCATGCAGTTCCTCAAATGCGGTGAACTTCGTAGTTAACTTTACATAATTGCATGACTATATCTACATCTATGTCTGTTTCAATATCTGCTCCCATATCTATATCTTCATGGTTTTATCGATTTGAATTAGTTCATGCCTGTATGTCTTCATCTTCACTTAGATCTATATCTGCATGCAGGTCTATGTCTAAGTCTATATCTATATCTGTGCCTGTCTTACCTATATCTATACCTTTGTCTATACTTATACCTTTATCCGCATCTATATCTTAACTATATCTATATTCTATTTGCATCGATATCTATACTAGTATCTGCATCTATATCTCTGTGTGTGTCAATACTAATGTCAATATCTATATCTATTCCTATATATATATATATATACCTATACCTATATCTATACGTATATCTATACCTATACCTATATCTATACCTATATCTATACTATACCTATACCTATATCTGTACCTATATCTATACCTATATCTATACCTATATATCTATATCTTTACCTATATTTGAACCTACATCTATACGTATATCTATACGTATGTTTAAACCTATATTTAAACCTATATCTATCCCCATATCCATGGCTATATCTATATTGCTACATATATGTATATATGCACATACCGACAAACACATGTTGATAATAATGATTTCTATACTATACATGTGAATCTGGTTCAGTATATATACACAGATAGCCATGTACTATATATGCTATTCGAATTTATTTGCAGATATTTCTAACAATTCATGCACGTATGTTATGTTTATATCTATGTCCATATCTGTATCTGGATCTGTATATATGTATATATCTTCATCTGTATCTATATCTTGATTTATATTTAAGTCTTTCTTTGTAATTATATATATAGCGAATATCTCTGCTATATATATATATATACATACATACTACATATACACACATTTCTGTCTTTTATACCTAGATCTATGCTGTGTGGATCTCTATATTTGAAGATATTTTCTATTTTTCTGCATATACATATATGTATATATGTCACATATGAATATATATATATATGAACATATCTGAATATATTTTTCGTTTCAATACATATATACAGCTATACACATGTATGATCTATATTCGTGTCTGTATCAGTATATCTCTGCATTTTCCAGCTTGTTCATTGTAGCTAAACTGAAATCTTTTCACATATTGTGCATCTATAAATTTATCGATATATGTACGTACATGAAACCTAGAATTAAGTGTAAACCTTCTCCTATACCTATAATAGTTGCCATTGAAGACACGGGGCGAATGGGTCTGGAGCCAGTCGCACGAAACCGGGCAGTCATTGCACGCAGAGGTTTAAGACAGTTGAAATATCGGAAAGCTCTTCAATTCAATTAACTTAAACCTCTGCGGGGCTTGTATGTCCTTTCACTTGTAGGGTTTAGGGTTTAGGGTTTAGGGTTTAAGGTTTAGGGTTTAGGGTTTAGGGTTTAGGGTTTAGGGTTTAGGGTTTAGGGTTTAGGGTTTAGGGTTTAGGGTTTAGGGTTTAGGGTGTGGTAACGTCATGGGTGCTCGCTGGTGTGTGCACACCCAGGCCGCTCGCACTGGTGCGTAGCAGACAGCCCACCCCAAGACCGCCCTGAGTTCAAGCATTTTAGGGTTTAGTTCTAAAGTCTTCTAGGCACCCAAGCGGGGGCTTGGACATCACCGACGGGGGCCGTTACTTTCAACGGGGCCCAGGCCAGTCGAAGGGAAGCTACATGTGTGTCTCAACCGAAAAGGAGTAGCAATGCGTGGGCTGACTAGGGCTGTTCTTGCAAACATTTGTTTCATACCCAGAAAATAGATAATACGTTATTCGACGAAGTCGCTGCTTCGGCTTTCTCCGTGGCCCGCAGGGTGCTGTTCGACTACCAGCCCGCCGAACCGGAAATGTGGCTCTACCTCTGTGCGCAGCAGATGCCGCCTTGCCGCTACGGTGGTACCATGGTCCCGCTCATCGTGCCCTGGCCTGGCATGGAGACGCCGCCGCAGGTGGTGAAGGCCTACGAGGACTCAACCTGGCGCCGCGAGGACATGAGCTTCCTGGAGTTCTGCCGCAAGACCAACAAGGATGGTCGCATCGCCCACTGGGTGGTCAAGCTCCACAAGGCATCGGGGGATGTGCAGCCCGCAGACGACGAGGCCACCAAGCTCCGCAAGCTACACGACTTCGCCAACGGCTGCCCCATGAATGGCGAGAAGCTAGTGGCCTGCGACATGCTCTCACTTTTCAACGACCGGTGGTTCGGGCAATGGTTGGCTCTGCGGCAACCATTCCGACGTCTCAGCGACCTCATGCTGTCCGAGGCGCAAGACAAGGTGCCGCCACAGTACGTCCACTTCACCAACGCAATGTTGCAGTGTCCGGAGTACTGGGAGAACGAGGAGCAGATCCGTGCAGATCTAGAGCTCGAAGCAGTGGGCAATGCCAAGATCGAGACGATCCTTGCCAAGGTTCGAGCGCAGCGGGCCTTAGTCGAGAAGTTCCTCCGCGGCTTGCTCGACAAAGAGGATGATGATGGCACACAGGAGGCACTGCGGGAAGTCGGTTTGCTCCCCGACGAGGAGGATCCCATGTTCAAGGATGTCCACTTCAATGAGAGGCAGGAGCGGCTGGAGAAGAGCATCTGTAAGCTGCTGGACACGGCGAAGGCGGCGAGGGAGGCACCGAACGAAGTGGAGTGGGACCGCATCGTGGAGGAAGCCAAGAGGCAGAACAAGCCGCAGGCAGTGACTGGCCCTCCAGGCACTGGCAAAACCACGGTGGTTGACAAGTGCGTCCGCCGGTGCTTGCGACAAGGTGGCCGAGTCTTGTATGCACTGCCAACCGCCCAGCAGGCATCTAGAGTCCGGAGCAAGCACCCCCAAGCGGATGTGGACACTTGTGCCGGTGCCTTCTTCCTTTACAAGGATTCGGTGGAGGTGATGGACTGCTTGACGCAGTACGACATGATCGCAGTCGACGAGATCTCCCAGCTCTCCCAGAAGGACTTCGAGCGCATCGTCCAGATGTGGGAGGCGGCAGATCGGGTTCCCGTCCTCGTCTTCGCAGGTGACTTCTGGCAGCTCCCAGGTGTGCAGCCTACCAAAGCCACGGACAGCCCGAAGTGGCATATGGTGCACCAGATCGAGCTCCACGAGATGTGGCGCTGCAAGGACGAGACGTTGCGCCAGAAGCTCGTCGCACTGCGGACCGCGATGCCCACGAAGCAGCTCCTGAAGCGCATCGCACTTCGGCACAAGGCATGGTCCGGTCATCGGAAGCCAACGGCTTGGGACATGCAGCAGCTGTACCGCAAGGTACCCCACACCACGATTGCCACCTGTACCCGAAGAGCAGCTGCCCACGTCAATGACCTCTCCATCTGGGTGCTCTTCACCACGCAGCGGAAGCGGCAACTGGCCGACCTCAAGGTCGATTGGGAGTCGAATGCGGACAACTACGACGAGGGGAACAACGTCATCACAGACCGACCGCCAGTGCCCCTGTCCATGAAGGTCTACAAGAACCTTCGCGTGCATCTGACTCGCAACGTGGACAAGTCGTCGGACTTCATCAACGGCATGGAGGCCACTGTCAAGAGCTACGACCCGAACTCTCGCTGCCTCCATGTGCTCACCAAGACGGGTCGCAACTTGGCGGTGTACCCGATCACGGACTGGGTGGACGGCTGCGGGTACGTCACTGCCTATCCGGTCCGCCCAGGATATGCCAGCACGGTGCACAAGTTGCAAGGGGCCGAGCTGGAGCATATCACCGTGTGGCTGGACATTCCCTTCATGCGAGCAGCCGGGTACGTGGCGCTCAGTCGAGTTCAGCGAGACACTGACTACCTCTTGGGCGGCATCGTGACTCGCCGACACTTTCTCCCGGCAATGTGAGTGGCCGCCAGTGCATTGCCTGCGTTCCAAAGGCACATGCTGTACATTAACGGCTTTCGAACGTAGGTCGTAGCTGGCAGGTAGTTTCGGCACAGACCCGCCCTGCGGCTTGCAAAGAAGCTGATGTCTCATGCTGAAAAGAAAAACGTCTCCTGGTTGTGCGAACCAGAGCTCGGGTGATGTGCGAACAGTGTCGAAACCGTATCTTGTCTTGAATGAAGCCGCTGCCCGACGCCGCCCCCGCTGCCATTTTTTTTGCAAAATTTCGCCGCGACTTGAACCTCGCCGGATTGAAAGGTCTCATGTAAGCTTTCTGCGAGGCTGTCAGGGCAGGTGCCGGCTTTCTGTGAGTCTGGATTCGGCTTTCTGTGAGGCTGTCTTGCTGGGTTCTCATTTGGGCTTTCTGTGAAGCTATCCTGGCGGGTGCCGAATGAAGCAATGGATATTCCGTGAAGCTCCAATCCTTGTCCATTCCAGATTCGCACCAAATCCTGCAAGTCGTGAAGGGTTGGGGGATCCAACCCTTGTCCATTTGGGGGCCGTTCCAAGTCGTGAAGGGTTGGGGGGTCAAACCCTTGTCCATTTCCCGTTCATGAAGGGTTGGGGGGGTCAAACCCTTGTCGAGTTGCCGTTCATGAAGGGTTGGGGGGGGCTAAACCCTTGTCCATTTGCCGTTCATGAAGGGATGGGGGGTCAAACCCTTGTCCATTTCCCGTTCGTGCAGGGTTGGGGGGTCAAACCCTTGTCCATTTGCCGTTCATGAAGGGTTGGGGGGTCAAACCCTTGTCCATTTGCCGTTCATGACGGGTTGGGGGGTCGAACCCTTGTCCATTTGCCGTTCGTGAAGGGTTGGGGGGTCAAACCCTTGTCCATTTGGGAGCCGTTCATGAAGGGTTGGGGGGTCAAACCCTTGTCCATTTGGGAACTGGCCAAAAAGGAGGAACCCAGAGATCGGCCGACAGCCTAATGAAATGGCACATTTTATAAGCAGAATTTGGTAACAGAAATTCAGCTGTCAACTTCCTGGAAAGGAACACCCGCCAAGTCGTGAAGGGTTGGGGGGTCCAACCCTTGTCCATTGCCGTTCGTGAAGGGTTGGGGGGTCAAACCCTTGTCCATTTGGGAGCCGTTCATGAAGGGTTGGGGGGTCAAACCCTTGTCCATTTGCCGTTCGTGAAGGGTTGGGGGGGTCAAACCCTTGTCCATTTGCCGTTCGTGAAGGGTTGGGGGGTCAAACCCTTGTCTATTTGCCGTTCGTGAAGGGTTGGGGGGTCAAACCCTTGTCCATTTGCCGTTCATGAAGGGTTGGGGGGTCAAACCTTTGTCCATTTGCCGTTCCTAAAGGGTTGGGGGGTCCAACCCTTGTCCATTTGCCGTTCATGAAGGGTTGGGGGGTCAAACCCGTGTCGAAAGGAAGTGCCAGCAAAAACCCTCGGGTTTAGGGTCTATCCTTTATACCACTCCGTGGGAGGTGCCCGAGGGGCCGGCATGCATGGTGCCAGTCGCCTAGCTTTACCTAGGCTCCGCGTACGCGTTTTCTGCCGCTCGCGAAGCTCGGGCCGTTCGGGCTCCGCGGTGGCGGTTGTCGAGCCCTCAGCGAAGACTTTAGGGTTTAGGGTTTAGGGTTTAGGGTTTAGGGTTTAGGGTTTAGGGTTTAGGGTTTAGGGTTTAGGGTTTAGGGTTTATAGAAGGTGTGTAGGGTTTGGGTGCGGAGTTTTGGCGGGTTTCGGGCGGGTTTTGGCGGGTTTTGGCGGGTTTCGGGCGGGTTTTGACAGGGTTTTTGCTTTTGCTTTTTTTGTGCAGGTGGCTTTGTTTTTTGCTGCCTCGAGCCCTGCCCTGCCCTGCCCCTGCTGTGCCCTGCCTGCTGTGCTGCGTGCTGCGTGCTGCTGTGCCCTGCTGCCTTGCCCCGACCCGTTTGCACTGCCCTGCCACGATAGAAGTTGTGTAGGGTTTGGATACGGAGTTTTGGCGGGTTTTGGCGGGTTTCGGGCGGGTTTCGAGCGGGTTTTGACAGGGTTTTTGCTTTTGCTTTTTTTGTGCAGGTGGCTTTGTTTTTTGCTGCCTCGAGCCCTGCCCTGCCCTGCCCCTTCTGTGCCCTGCGTGCTGCTGTGCCCTGCGTGCTGCTGTGCCCTGCCTGCCCTGCCCTGCCCTGCCCCGACCCGTTTGCACTGCCCTGCCGCGATAGAAGTTGTGTAGGGTTTGGGTACGGAGTTTTGGCGGGGTTTGCCGTCTTTGTGTAAGCATTTTTTTTTGGGCTGCCTGTGCCCTGCCCTCTCTTGCCCTGCTTCCCTGCCCTGCCCTGCCTGGGCCCGTTTGCACTGCCCTGCCACGTTGTCCCTCTTCTACCTAGAAAACGCACGATGATGCGACATATACGCACAGCATTCGAATCTCTTTAGCAGTGTAAGGCGCTGGCTTTGTTTGCATCGGGTATCGCGGCGATGGAGCTGCTTGTAACGGTCAGGGATCCATGGCTGGAGATTCGATTTTTTCGAAAAGCTTCAGATGGCTGCGAAACATACATGGGATCTGCAATCGGGCCTTGGGGAAACGTTGCACATCTTGCAATGGATGCAATTGTAGATCTTGCAGTGGATGCACACGACTAAAGATGCAGATTTTCACTTGCAGGAGAACACACAGTCCGCACGGTGGCGAAGCTCTCCATGGCTTTGTACAGACGGTCTAAACCTCACGGATGCAGTAGGTGCTGGGGTGGTGCCGGAGGTCGGCCAAGAAGGTGTCCACTGGGATGTGCTCCGGCGCGCGTGCCAAAGAATCCAAGCGGAGGATGCCGTTGTTGAAGAACCGGTAAGCCACCCAGTGCAGGTTGTCCCGATTCTGCACAGCCCCTACAGCTCCCTGCAGCTCGCGCACGGTCGTCACGGGTCTCAAAGGCATCTCCCACATGACCCGATCGTACGTGTCCATGGCCTTCGACTGGAGTGCTTGAGCCAAGACTTCGGAGGAGTAGAAGCCATCTGGAGCCACGTGGTCCTGGATGTTTTCTCCACGTTCGTGGCCACCTTCTTCAAGAAGAACGAGCACGGCCTTCTCCATGTCCTCCGGAGCGAAGTGCCTTGCCCCAAAGCATTGTTCAGAGCATGCAGCCCGCAGAGGGCGCGCTGCTGCTGCTCGAAATAAGGCTCGGCCGGTTCTGCTGCTCCTCCTGGGGCGGTTGCCGCTGTTGGCGTGGCCGCGGTGCTGTTGCTGCAAGTGTCTTTGCGAAGATGCTTGGCCACCGGCACATGTGCCACGGCATTTTCGGCGGCTCGCTTACCCGTGCCAACAGTAGCTTGGCTCGGTGTTGCTGCGGCGCCGGCCACGGGCTTAGCCTTGCTCTTGGCTGAACTCTTGGCCTTGGCTTTGGATTCGGGCTTGCACGGGCACGTCTTTCTGTGAGCCTGAACGGCAGCTTTGGTGTCGGGAGCTTCTTCGCCGCACAGCGGGCAGTGCCAGGGTCGGACGCCCTCCTCCGCATCCTCGCCGTGCCATGTCCCCAGCTTCGCGAAATCAGGCTTGCCCAGCTCCTGCAATCGCTTCGAGTAGACTTCCTTGCTCTGCGGAGGCTTGAACAAGGCACGCCACAGTGGCGGACCATCCCTCTGCGCTTGCTGAACTTCAACTTGTGCAGAGCCCACTCAGCGTTCTTGTTGGATCGCAAAGCCTTCGGGTTGAAGTGCTCCAGGGTGCACAAAGCCTGCTCGGGGCAGCGGCTCAGGGCGACGTACGCTTGACCTTCCTGGGTGACCGTGTGGTCCAAGCGTGCGTGGACTCCGTCGTGCATCGTGGCTGCTTGGCTCTTGTGGATGGTGATGGCTTTAGCGAGCACGAGCGGGAATTGACGTCTTTCCGCTTTGTTGCAGTCCTTGTCCACGTACGTGCCCGAGCGGCGGAGAATGGCCACTGAGTTGGTGCCGTGCTCCGCTCGCCAAATGGTTCCGGCATTCTTTTCGAAGACGACCCAGATCCTTTCCACCTCTCCGCTGGTCTCGTCGATGTCGATGTGCTCCACGGCGCCGCAAGCCCCGTTAACCAAGCCATCCTCCACGTCGATGTTGTGCCGCAGCATAACACGCAAGCCGACCGAAAGCTGCAGCAAGGTCTCGAGTCCTCCAGTATCCTCTGGATCTGTCCAGATGGCTGCTGGGTCCAGCGGAGCTCCGGTCTTGACGTTGAAGTCCACGGCCGGGCAGTCGTGAAGCGTGGCGTCGGTTCTCTGTAGGTGCTCGGCTTTGTACTTGTCGTTGGCGTTTGCGACTGCTTTTCGGGTGGCGTACAGATTGACGGCCTTCGGGGCGGGCCGCTTCGAGCCCTGTTTCTTGACCACCATGCCGCGCAAGGTCTCGATGTCCGCCTCCGTCCAGTTCCCGACGCGGACCCTTGCGAGCAGAGCCGCCCAGGTCGGGTCCTTGGCCGCACGCTGGTTGCCCTGGAGCTCGCACAGCTCGAAGAGAAGCCATAGCCGACTGGCGAAGGCTGGTAAGCCGCCGGGGGGTGGCAACTGGTACAGGTCTCCTGTGGAGTCCTCCGAAAGGCAGGTGTGGAGCGTCTTTGGCGAGACGGAGGTGCTGGTCCAGTCGATCCAACATGAACGCGGAAACGAAGCTCATCTCGTCCACGAAGAGTGCCACCACCTTTGCCCAGATTGCTCGGAGGGAAGCCAGCTGGGGGCCGTTTGGAAGGGGTAGATCGCAGGCCTTGCCGTAGCTCTTGTTGACGACCGGGAGAAGGAGGCATGAGTGGAGGGTCACGCCGTTGATGTTCCAGGCCGCCACCCCCGTCGGTGCCGCGATCACCACTCCTTTGCCGTTTTGGCGGAGCATGTGAGCTGCTGCTCGCACCACAACCGACTTTCCGCAGCCGCCCGGTCCATGAAGCAGCATCTTCAGTCGTCGGGTGTTCTCGCTGCTCTTGATGTTCGGGCAGCTCAGGACGGAGTTGACGATGTGCTCCATTGCCTGCCGTTGTCGCTCCGTTTCCGGGGTCGGGTTCTCCGT